GAAGTCACAAGAATGCTCGAATGAAAGTGACCCTACGCAGAATAAGGAAACACCACCTGTTCACCCCACAAGAGCTGAACACAAAAGGCAGTGCCACCCTCTCCAACTTTAGCACATGTCTGAAAATTTCCACCATTTTATACAAATCCAAAAGTGATGCCACCATCAGGATGATTTTAGGGTTGTACATACATTTGAGTGAATAGGTAGATCTGGAAACAGGGGAGCCATGAACAACAAACACTGACTGTAAGTCATTTCTGCCTCTATCCCCAACCTTCCCTGCAGAGATCCAGCCTCCTTATAAGGATACATCATTTTGTTTTAGATGTTTTGGGAAAACCACCAATCTATATATAAGACTACACTTCTAAATACACTACTCCCCAAATCTACATTAAGTTCAGTGTTTCAGCTGGGCATGGACGTAGAGGAGGCAGCGTGGGTCTCTGCACTCTTTGCTTAATTTCCCTGTCCAACCTTGTCATCACGGGTCCTCAGATCTGTGAGTCAAGGCTTCTGCTTTTCTTGCTGCCGCTGAAGCATGGCTCCTGCAGGTGCTGCTCTCCCCCGCCCCCGCCCTCCGACTTCCTACAGTGAGCATGCGCAGCAGTGCTCTGCAGTTTACGAGGCCCCTCTGCCCACCAGCAGGGGGGTAACGCAAACCGAGGCAAAAGTGCGTGGCTCTGTGGGGAAACAACATTGGAAGGTAATTTCTGCCAAATTCACACCATTTGAGGAACGAGATGGAGAAGATGCAAATTTAGGTTTATCACTCTTGAAACCACACAGCCACCCCAATGCAAAGCAACCCCATTCAAATGCGCTGGGAGTTGCCTTTGCAGCCTTAAAAAAAAACCCACTTAAATGAAAAATTTAAGCGTCAGGACTTGGCTAAAGAGACAGTTTCCTTGTGGGTTAGACTGATTTTCCTAAGAGGAGGGATGAGTCCAGCCAAGCGGGAGGATCAGTCTTGCTGGGCTGCTCCGCGGCAGCCTGGTTAGTCACTGGGAAATGATCAAGCAGAGGCACACTGGCCAGGACCACGCCACTCAGCACGTGGCCCTCCAGACAGCCCCGCTGGCCTGCATGGGTAATGGGACCCCGCCCTCTGCCCCAGGGTCTCATCCCAGGAGAAGACACAGAACAGGGGCAGGACGCAGGCCTCAGCTGGGGATGGAACCCAGCATCTCTGAGCCCGAATCGGCCTTGTGTCTGCCCCGCTTCATGACCACATATGAGCAGGCCCCGAGGGCCTGTCCCAGAACACCAGGGACACAGACGCGTGGCCCCCAGGGGAAGCCTGGACTTCACTCACTCTGTGGACCCTTCCGGGTCCTTTCTCTGGGAGCAGGCACAGGGCAATTCTTAGAATATGGGGACCCACACTGCTGACATGAAAACTAAAAGGAAGGCTGCCAAGCACAATTTTACCGTCATTTAGAAATACAGGTGCAATGCTTGAAAACATCCTCTAAATCTTCAGAACCAAATTCTTTTGCTGCATCTTTGGAACCTGGAAGGCCTAAAAATGCACAAAGGAAAGGCTAACCTAGCCCAGGCAAGTCTGACCCATCTCCACCAGGCTCTGGGCATTTTCAGGCTCTAAAGAGATGCTCCCAAATCCTGTTTTACAGCTGCCTGGATATAATTCCCACACATCACATTGTTCCTTGATGCCCACCCGAATGTTATCTTTCAATATTCAGGGCTACACATAAGCCTCCAGCCTACCTACTTTAAAATGTAAAGTGTTAATTCAGTTCATGGGCCCAGTGAGCGACAATCAGGTGCTAGTTGTAATTTTAGGTGCCATTTGGACTGAAAAGAGGCCTCTCTGACCACATGCAGAGAGGAGCAGCTCCCGGGAAGGAGTGGGGATCCAGCTAAGAGGCCCCTTCCATCCTAAGACAGTGTGTGTCACATTCTCTGTCCGTTACACCTTTGTATGCATTGTGCTATGACTGGCTCAAGCCACGAGCAGACTGAGCTTCTGGGCATGAGCCCCAGCTCTCCATGCCTCTATCCAGAGCTTCCTTGGCCTCGGGCAGCTCCCATGATACATTCTGGAAATGTCACCCCAAGGTCTGCACAGCCCAGCGAAGAAGCCATGGACATAGCAGGCCTAAACTCTGAACAGCTGCGTGGTGATTTGTAAGCAGTCCAATGCACCAAACCTCTGTTGTGAGCCAGTATTTCACTCCCTGCATGGCATTCATGACTAGAGAATAACCAAGTTGACCTGTGCACATCCATGTTGGGAGAAAGGCAGCCAGGAGGTGAGCTGAGAGTCATCGGCAGAAAATCAAAACAGGAAGGAGAGGGCAGGACAGTCGCTGTGCCACGCTGCTGCTGGGTGGGATGCCCAGCCCGGGCCCACCCGTGGAACCCTCTCTGTGGCTCCTCCCCGCATAGCACAGGTGGCACGGGGGCTCAGAGGAGGGGGCCACATGGCCACGGCCTGCTGGGATGAGCAACTGCCTAGTGTGAGTGAGCCTCTGGGTTCAGTCACAACTGTGGGGCTACACGGGAGCTGGCATTCGCAAAACATTGACTGAATAGTGGGTTGAGGCCAGGATCACCCTGAAGGACAGGGCAGAGCTGCAGGCAGTAAGTCTGGACACGTCGAAGGTACCTGGCCCGTGAACTGTGCCCCACCAGCCACTCACCATCACCACCCACTCTCCTCCAGGGAAGACACAGCAACCGCCGAAACTACTGGACAAAAAGTATCTACCATGAAAATACCCTGCTCTTCCTGCTCTCACCTTTTCTGGAGAAAACCTCAGAGGCGGATGGACAGGGTAGTGAGGTGCTGTTCTAAGCCCAGCAAACCGAGGCGGTGGGGAGGCCGGGCCAAGGCTGCAGTAGACAGACAGCTGTGAGCAAGGTCAGCAGACAGGACTTCCATGTGACCCCAAAGTACGCCCAGCCTCTGGGCACCATTCATACGTTTCTGTCACTCCGCCTTTTTAGCACAACCTGAACAGGGACCCTGCAGCTGCCAGAGCAGCCAATCCAACCGATTTGAACAAAGACACACTGAATCTGGACTAGGAAGCCCTCTGAGTTTTGCTGAACGCATACAAAAACTCACTAGCCAGTTAAGAAGTAATTACAGGAAACTCATGACTGTAAAATATCCCAGAGGCCTATGATGGTCTCTTGAGATTTTATAGCTGTATCTTTCACAAACGTGACATGTAACTGTATAGCTGAGGCTTATGGAAAGTGGTAAATGGTAGGCCCAGGGTAGAAAGACGGTTCGGCCACATAGGACTGCGGACCACTGTTCAACGCCACAGCTCCTCTGCAGACAGTGGAGAGCACAAGCACAGCCACGAGCCTTAACACCCTCTTGTACATACCCACAGTGCCCAGGGTCCCCAGATCACACCGTCCCACCACAGGAGACCCCTTCGTCTCACCTACCTTCCTTTCCTAGATTCACACGTGGGTCTGCACGTGCCAGCAGCAGCCCGCATGGAGAGCGGGCAGGGCAGGGCAGGGCAGGGCAGGGCAGGATTCTCAAAGAGAGCTGTTGAAGTGGGGAGAAAGCAGAAACCTGGCCCAGCAGGCAAGAGGGTTTCCTGCTGCCGGACTGTGTCTGTAACTAGGGAAGTGGCCTTTCCTCAAAGTGTCAGTTTGCAAAACAAGTCAGAAAGCAGAAGTGTGGGGCCCTGCTGGGTGTGCTCGGCCTCCTCTAATTTCACATTCCGAGTGAAGCTGCACTCTGAGGACTGGGCTCCCCGCAGCCTATGTGAGCTGAAGAGAAGCCCGGGGACAGGGTTGTGCCCATTCACGCTCGATCAGCCAGGATATCCGCTTTCCCAGAGTTCCCCACTAAAAGGAACTTGGTCTTAGGATACAGCAAAACTTTCTTTTCTACTTTACATTGGCTAAAGGTTTGATGATCTCTTTATAACTTTAGTGAACCAACATGGATTTTACTTATTTCTCTTCTGTTTTCCTGTTTGCAATTCCAACTATTCTGCTTCAGTTCTTTTCTTCTTGATTAGGGCTTAATTTGATCTTCTTTCTGTAGTTTTCCTATATGGAACTGTAGGTTCTTGGCTGTATGTATTTCTTATATCTCATATACACTTCAGTCTGGACAGGGTTTGGGCGCGTGTCCCACGGCTCAGGGGCTGCAAGTGGGGTCCCAGTATCTCGCATGGCAGTGTTAAGATGGTAGACCCCTAAGATGCAGGCCCTACTGGGAGGTAATTAAGTCACTGTGGATGGTACCCTGAGAAAAGATTAATATTCATCTTGCATGGGTTACATCTCCAGGTCCTGAATTATTTCCTTCCCGAGTGGGTTGTTATAAAGCAAGGCCACCCTATATGTGTGATCTCTTCCATGTTAGGACACAGTCTCACGGTGAAATGCCATCTGCCCTGTTTTGATGAGGTATGAGGCCTGCATCAGATAAAGCTGTTTGAACATGGACTTTTAAACTCTGAGTCAAAATAAACCTGTTTTGAATATAAACTACATTGGGTAGTTTTATAGCAACAAATGCACTAAGACATATGTACACATCCTGCTATGAATGTTTCTCTACACAGGCTTTTACTGCATCTCCAAACTTTCTCTAAGTTGTGCTTTCATTTTTATGCAGTTTTTTTTCAAAACATTTAATAATTCTTTTGAGACTTCTTTGACTCATAGGTTATAAAGAAGTCTATTTAATTTCCAAGCACTGGGAGACGAGTGTGTGTCCGTTCTTTTTGTGATTACCTAGTTTAATTTTGTTTTGTTCCAAGAAAATAATTTGCATGAATTTTATTGGTTTAAATTTGTTCACATGTTTTTCAAGAACATCTTTTATCATGGTGAATGGTCCAAGTAAGCTTGAAAAGAATGTGCATTTTTCCACTTTTGGATTGAACAGTTTATAAATGTCAAGTCCATTGATAGTGCTGCTCAGGCTTCCAGAGCCTTACTGATTTTCTGTCTCTTTGGTGTGTCAGCTACTTACACAGGGAAAAGGAAATTTCCAGTCATAATAGTAGACTTGTATATTTCTCTCCTCAGTCTAACCAGTGTTTGCCTTATGGATTTTGATGCTGTATTGTTATATGCATATATGTTTAGGAGCATTACATTTTCTGGGATATTTGATTCCTTTATCACTATGTAACAATTTATTTGAAGCACTGATATATTCACTGTGGGGACTTTGTCCTTTAAGTGACACAGGAAGTCAGGAGGGTGCAGGAATATGAGTAATTCACTTGGGGATTTCCAGTTTGGGTAAGGCTCAGGCAGAGTACTTTTCCCTGAAGAGTAACTCTTTGTGTGGTGAAGCCTCCAGGTACACTTCATGACTATAACTCACCTCTTCTTCAGCCCAAGCCATGTCGGGCTCTTTATCAGATCTTCACCAAAATACCTCCATGAGGTCTGTATTAACCCTTTTTATTGTTTATATTTTTCAATATTTTGGTATCAAGGGTCTTAAGAGTGTTGGCTATATTGTCCTTCCTGCAACTGGTCAATTTCAAGAGATACTAAAACACTTCTATGTAAACCAACCAATCAAAAGCCTATCTCTCAATTACTTCCTTAGCAGGCTCTCACAAACCACACCATTGTTTCTCTCTCACTCCAGGCACAGGGACCTAGGGATGGATAGCCCGCTCCTGCAAGCCGAGATCATTCAAACCACCAACTCGACGCCTGCTTGGCTCCTTGCCTCATGTTCCCTGCAGAAGTCAGAATAAAGGCTCTTGCTGCTGCTGCTGCTCCTTCACTGGCCCTGCTGCTTCCCTTTGTGGTGTGCTGTGCCTCTCGTTCTCAGGGATCTGTGAGTATAAACATCCTCCTCCAGAGCAGTTGTTTGTTTGTGTGTTTGTGTGCCTCACCTACCTAATTAAACATATCCTGGTCTCCAGAGGGAGGATAAGCTCTCTGGAGGGAAAGCCCAAGAAAATAGGGGCTTTTCTGAGCCTACAATTTGTAGGAGCTTTTCTCTCTCAGTCTAGCCTGCAGTCAGTCTTCAGCAAGCCACCAAAATCACTATGTAATAACTTCTAGCACTGCTTGGCTCTGGTAGCTTCTGCCCCAGGTCAGCAGGTTTGCATCATCTCCTCTGGATGTGCCCATGTCTCCAGACACCAGGTGTTGATCTTTCCCGAGATCTCAGGTATCTGGTTAATTAAGAAAAGCCACTGATTCTCAGTGTGTCTGGCTGTCTTAAGGAGGACAGAAGAGTTCTTTGTGGGTTACAGCTGAAACGGATGACTGTCTCTCTTTGCTAATGTTTGTTTAGTCAGCTAATGTGTATCAGATGGTCTACAATATCTTCTCCACTGCACACTGATGGGTGAGGGGTTAAGACGTGACTGTCATGTAATCCATGGTCTCTAACTCTGACACACGTATGAGTGGATGGATGAATGATTATCTGACCCATAAGCATTTGCTGCATGAATGGCTGAGAGGTGAATGTAGTTTTATCACCAATTGCACATTTCCAATCCAAGGAATCCCAGGGCTCCCAGTCTTGTCCACTCCTCCTCACTCCAAATCACTACCAGAGGTCCCATGTCCCCAGGAACTCTGTTTCTTAACTGACATGCAGTGCACCCAGTTTCCAGGCTTTCTAAGACACTGAGACAGTCCAAAATGACTTCTGCCTCAAAATGTTAGATCCTTGTTTTGTTGTGTACTTAAAGAATACAGAAGGAAATAACGTTTAACACATTGCAACCAAATCGAACTCAATGAGCAAACTGACGAACTGGACTTTCCGGCAGGCTCCTTGGTCGACCACAATTTTGTCCAAAATTATGGAGAGACTGTGGGCCTTAATATCCCAATCCCTCTTTTTCCTCACACATGGCCTCTAACAAAGCTTGAGGGGTAAATCAAGACCACCAAAAACTAAAAACTAAAACACTCTGGGCTTTGTGCTTTGGAGGCAGTGTTTGCTTCTTTCTTCCGCTTTGGTTGAGCTGCATTCTGTAGACCTTATACCGAGCAGGACTCATCTGCAGCATCCCCAATGCCTCAGTTTTTGTGGGGTGAGAGGTGCCTGGGAAGTGGTTCCAAGTCCCACTCCAGAGTGGACAGAACCTGGGTCCAAAGACCAGCTGCACTGCTTTTACCCTTAAAGTTCTTTTCTTCCATGTGCACAATGAGACCAACACAACTCACCTCCAAGAGTTGGTCTGGGGATTCCACAGGAGGTGCTCCCTGTGGGCTGACAGACACGGCCTGCACTGGTGCTACTGGAGGAGGCAGAGGTGGCCCCCTGTGGGAGGATATGACCTCACTCCCAGAAAGCCTAGCCCACATATCCCTATTCACCAGACCCTGTGGGTCTGCTGCTTCACACAAGCTCAAGGAGTACAAAGTCACATTAGTTAAATTAGGTGGGTGCAGTGTGTCCTGACTGTGGCCATCTTGAGCTCAAACTGCCATACTTACTCCTGAGTAACCCTGGGCTGTTTTCCCGCACAGCTTCCTAGTGTACTGTAGACCCCTAAACCCAGTACAGTCGTGTGTGGGGCTTTCCCACTGCTCTCTGGCTCCAGAAATATGCCTGACTCTTTGATGCTAGCTGAAGATAAACTAGGTATAGCCTGGCTTGGATGAAGTCATTGTTATCTGCATCTCTATCTCTATCTCTGCATCTCTATCTCTATCTATCTATACCTATATTTATACCTGCACCTGTACCTATACCTGCATCTCTATGCCTCTTCTTCTGACCCAAGTGCCACATTTGCTGCTGCCCTTCAGTCAGAACATCCCCGGGAAATTTACTCTGTGCAGACCTGGATCTGTCTGCTTTTTGATTCGGTTTCATGGCACCAGTGCCTGGTTCTTACACACTGGCTGAGTTGTCCTGGAACATCTATATTACTGTCTTGATAAAACAGAGGTATACTGAAGTATTTAGGGAAAACTTCTGTGTCTATAGTTTACTCTAAAAACACTTGAGTCAAAAAAGATAAAGCTAATATGACAAACTATTCCTACAACAAAGTCATGCTTGCTTATATATCATGTTCTTTGACTGGTCATAAGTCAGAATATATTTGTTATAAAAATTTAGATTTTTCTCACATAAAACATAAAAGCAAAATGCCATCAACTCACCATCCATGATGTGGATGCTAAAGCCAAGACCTGTTGGCCACTAGTCTACCTGCATGGAGGCCCTGTGACAGTTCACCTTGTCACCTTGGTGGGCCTGAGACACCTACGGGTCAGTGAATCACACTTCCAGGTGAGTCTGTGATGGGCAAGGGGGGCCTGAATGGGGAGACCCACCCGAATTTGGGCACACCACCAAATGGACTGCAGACAGGGTGAGTTGAAAGCAGCAGCCTAAGGAAGCCTATAGCACAGCCCCTCCCCCTTCTTCCCTCTGCTGTCGTGATGTGACCAGCTCTGCTCCCCTCCACCACCTCAGCCATGACGCTCTGGAGTCATTTATCTCACGCTTCCCAAACAGTATCAGGCACAGCAAGAGTCCGCCAATCAAGTGAGCCCATGTACAACACAAGTGAAGAAGTCTCTTCACTTGTGGATTATAAAAAGATTAAACTATTTCACAAACATGATTCTTAATAAAAATAGCCACACTGATCTGGTTTTAAAAATTATTTCCAGGCTTTGTACACAAGAAAAGCACAATATAGTTGTCATTACTTAAGGTAGTATGTCCCAAAAGGTCACCTCCAACACTGAATTAGCAGACACTCAGCCACTGCTCCTTGGGAGCTCTGATTCTAATCACTGTCATCAGCTGTCAGTGCAAGACCTCGTCTTGTGTTTCTGTTTAGAAATGCCTTACTGAATACATTCTGTGACTCATTATCACTGACCTCGTGACCAGCAGCACTGTGACTTGTGCTTCAGCAAGGTTCGCTACAGCTTTCCCCACTGGGCACGCAGCAGCTTCTCATGCTGAGGGACACTGACAGCCATTCAGCACTATAGCTGGAACTCACCCGAAACACCACCATCACCAGAGAAAAGCACAAAACACGCAAAACCCCTGGCACCCAACGACCAGGAGAAAGGATGCTTGTTCACAGCGTGAGCTACAGCCCAGCCTCAGAGCTCTGCCCTGTTCTCTTCAGCTGGAGCACACACACTGCTGGCTTCCCTCGGTCACCTGTGCAAGTTCACAACTCACCAGGAACTATTTGCACACACGGTCTGGGGGTTAGGGTAAACTGTTCTGAGGCAAATTCACAAACACAGAACCCAAATAAAGAAGATCAACTATGTATTCTCTCACTCAAGAGTACTAAATGTGATTCAGATTCACTCTTTACCCAAACTGAATACTCCTACAGATCCTCAGCGGTCAAAAACAAGCTAGACAGGAAAGTACAGGTTATTACACAAAACAGCGCAAGCACAAACAGATTTCAAGTGCACGCATGTGCAAGAATTTTGTACCTCAGCTCATCTTTGCTCCTGATGGTCACATCTCCCTGCTCACCCCTAATAATACCTCCAACCGCTTTCAGAAGCATGGGTTTATTTACATTTATTGAAAAGTGTGAGTCAACTGGCTTTACCACGAGGGGACCTGGCATGTGTGACCAACAAGTGGCACAGCACACTTGCTCTGGGTCGGTGAGGCAGCTGCGATAGGAATGACAGCCCTGATACCCATGGGCCTGAGCTCTGGCCCAGCCGGGGTGAATCCCTCTCCATCTCCTCACCCAGTAAAGGCCTAGGGCTTCAACATTTTTGGAAGATTCTTCTTTTAGGAAAAATGAAGACAGACATGTTAAAACAACAATATTTATCAATTTTGAGGGTGTCGTACTTTTCCACAGTTTTAAAATTAAAATCCATTGCTGCTCAAGTCCCTCACATAAACAAGCATAGTGGTATTTACATGTAATCTACATATACCTTCCTGTATACTTTAAATCATCCTTGGATCACCTACAATACCTTGTGCAATGCAAATACCATATACATAATTGTTATATTGTACCATTGAGATTGATGAAAAGAAAAATACTCTGTTCAATATAGTCACATTTTAAAATCATACTGTCTTCCTGAGTTTGGTTAAGCTGTCCAATGGCACCTGTGTTCTGGACCGCAGATATCTAACCCAGGCTGGATTAGCTTGGTCTTATGACTTGAGTCTAGATATCACCCCCCTAACCTGACTCTGTGAGGCTCTTCAGAAGTGGCTGGATCTAGAGTGTGATGCTGGGACCCAGGGTGTGGCGTTGCTCCACTGGTCCATTGATTGGGTTGGCACAGTTCTGGGTGTGCATAATGGGAAGGGTCTCCCTAGGTGTGGTGCCATCCTCCCTAAGGGTGTGCAGCCTGGATAGAAGATGGAAGGGACAGAAGGAGGCTGCTGCCCCTGCTTGTTGGTTGGTGCTTGCTGCTTTTGTCGGCCCTGTTCTGCCTGAATGATTTCTCCTCTTCCATGGCCCTGTGCTATGCTACCCTGCCTTGGAGCCAGCCATCTACTAACTGAAACCTCTACAAACCATGAGCTCAATAAACCTTTCCTCCTTTAACTTTGGATGTCAGGTATTTTGTCTCAGCGACGAGACAAGTAATTAAAATACCCTGGTTTCTCCAAGGCTCTGTTCTTATTTATAAGGCCTCTGCAAGGCACTTGGTTGGAGTCAGTTCTATTTCCATGGGACTCCTTCACAGCAGCCCACAGACTAGAACTACAAAAGCATGGGGTGTGAATGTGTGTGCACACATATTGGTGAAGCTACTACGCTGTGGCGATTGCTTGGGTACTGAGGATGAAAGGGGCAGTTCCCTGTGTACAAAACTCAGGCTGCGATCTCACAGAGTAGGGCACATGTGTGCCCATCAATTCCCAGCTTTGGATTCCCAGAAGAAAACTGGGCACCACGGTGTTAACACACAGCAAGTGGCAAATGTTACCTGCAAGGCCCTTCCCATGAGCAGCAGCCGTAAGGGCTGAGAAGGGCAGGAGGTGGGTAAAACCCCTCCCTGGGGGATGATGCCATGAGGCTCGGGTCTACCTGGTACCAAGCAGCTCTTGTTGTGGTCATGGAAATACCTGTCTTCTGACACTGTCCCTAGGCACAGAGCTCTTGCAATGTGACAAGGGTGACTGCTACCCAATCTCCTAGTTTTATTTAATTTTAAGTAACTGAAATGCAAATAGCCACATCCATCCTGAACACCTCCAGGATACTCTGGATTGTGGTCCAGGCTCATCCCTAGCAGAGAAATTCCTCTAACTTGGGTTAGACTTAGAGGCTCTGTATTTTCTTTTTCTTAAGGGGTTGACGTATTTTCTCCAGTGTTTAATTTGTTGTATCCAAAGTACATTTGATAGAGCAAAGTGTTTGAAAGAAACTTTTCGAATGCCCCAGGTAACACCAAAGAGGTGCCATTCTGGAAGTACTAATCAAACAGGACTATAGCATGGTCTCCAGCGAGACCCTTCAGAAATAGATGCAAGGACTGCGGCCACATGACAGTGTTCTAGAGCATCCCAGAGCTTCAGTGTCACAGTGGTGCCATGAGCCCCGGGTACCCTTGTCCAATGATTGTGGCTGGAAGGAAGAGATGGGGACAATACCTCCACATGTTGCTTACTAATTTCCAAAGATAGTGTACAGACTGCTTGCTTCCAAGTCAGGCGACACCACAGAGCCAAAGCCACTCTGCTTCTGCGGCCTGCCCTAGTCTTTTAAAGTCACGCTGCTTGTAAGAGACCTGATTTTTCAATTGCTCAGTGCCAGTAGCTATTTTCCCTTGACTTCTCACCCTTATCCATGAACACTGTGCAGATGGCCTCTTCTGTGCAAGTTGGTCGGCTGGGTGCTTTGCATAGAGCACTGGGACCTGACGAGAGCCCAAGGGGTGGGGTATTTTTAGCTTCATCTGATAGAAGAGGTGGTGAGAGTTTATGTGCATCAAACTCTAGGGCCTGGTGTCTTGACCACAGCGCCCCAGGGAGGGGCTTGGGAACCACTTCTTTGAAGTGGGCATTTGTGTGCCAAAGCCATGGTCCTAGAAATTTCACCATGAAGTGTGTGCAGCAGGTCTGGGGGCTCCTGACGACTGCAGCACAATGCCACAGAGGCATCTAGGGCAGTGGCGGTCAGCAAGTCCTTCTCAGGTGGTCCACAGTAACAGCAGCCTTTGGTCACCAGCTGCCCCAGCCTACAAAGCCCAGACAAACAGCCACAGACACCAGGAAACCATAGCCCAGGGTCTCAACCAGGAGGGGAGTGTTTGTGTCCTTCTCATCAGAAAAACATTTCACATGAAGCAGGCACATAACAAATGGTCTGCGGTGGAACAAGAATAACACGAAAAAATTATTGCAAAGACAGAAGCTTTGGGTAGAAATCAGCGTGGGTAGAAAATGTAAAGGTAGGAGTGCATGTTCCTTCTCTGAGAATTATTTTATGTGTGTCTGCCTCCTACAAGTGAGTCAGTAGTGTGTTGAGAGCACGGCACCCAACACCCCCACATCAATGCTTTCCTCCCAAATTTCTGCAGTGACAGGCTGCATGGAGACAGGTTTCCATGCAAAGGAGTGTCCATCACACACACACACACACACACACACACACACACACACACACACACACACGAGACACAGAGAGAGAGAAAGAGAGAGAGAGAGAGAGAGAGAGAGAGAGAGAGAGAGAGAGAGAGAGAGAGAGCAAATACGGGGGACTACTTTGTGCTGCCCAATCTGCAATCCTGCAATCGAGGGCACACAGAGCTGGCGTTAAACCCTGCTCCTGATTCCAATCCTGAAAACTGGTCCTCCTCCGAGATGAACGTGTGTGCTATGAGCTCCTACTGACTAGTTCTGCAGTCCTCCCACCCCCATCTGCTGCGTGAGAAGGCTGGATGGGAAGGTTGCAGACCTGACCACACCAGTATCTCTGGCAGTGGCTCAGGCATCAGAAGACGAGGTGGGCTCCCAGGCAACAGTGCACAAACACATTTGAAAACCTCAGCCACCACGGCTGGGTACCCTTGGGCAAGCCACCTGGCCTCCTGAAGTATCCTCCTCCCGCCTCTGAAGACAGAATCGTCCACTCAGTCCTGAGGGATGGTGTGGATCGATGTTAGTTCATTCCTGATCCCACCCTATTCACACCTTTTCTTTCCCCAAGGAAACCTTATTTTATTATTTCTCTGAGTTGAAAAAAAACACACACTCATCAGCATCAGAAATATCAGAAGTGTACATTTCTCATCTTTTTTCCTCCAAACCCATTCTAGTCCCCTTCTAGGTAACTGCTGCCCCAGTTTGGTACATATGCTCTTCATATTTACACACAGACACACATGCATATTTGCATAGGCAGAAATGCATTTATATGCAGTAAGTGACACTCCAGTGTGAACTCCATCAAATGCATGCATGAGTTTTAAAAATATATCATATTACATTTTGCTTTTTCATTAATATGATTTGAAACATCTTTATCTCTTTATGCAGAAAAACTTTACATTTTTAAAAAGACTGCACAGGATCCAATACCTACATTATAGTTTATTCAGCCAGTTCTTACACTGATATATATATTTCCCCCCTTTTCAGGTACTGTAACATCAAATGGTGCAATGAATTACTGTATGCATACACATAACTACTCACTTTCGTCAACCTGTATGTGTAGTAAGTTCCTAAAAGTGCAAGGATTGCCTCAAGCATTTGAGGGTTTCAAGTTTCAGAAGATATCAACAAATGGCTCTGCCAATGTTCAGCTGGGGTTTTCTCCTTATTAATTTGGAATTAATTTCTTCGCTCCATATGAAGGAAACCAATGCAGTTTCTAGAGCTTACCTAGAAGAAGTAAGCTGCAAGGAATTTCTTGCATATCTCTCTTTGCAGGCGCTGTGGAACCTTTCCTTGAGAGAAGCACTGACATCCACCTGCATCATGAGTGTTACCACAGCTGAATGCAAATAAGCCTAAAATTTTCCTTTTCCTCCCACTCCATCCCAACTCTTCACAACACCAAGTACTTCTGCTTCCCACCTCTCAATAGGAAAGCACTCAGACAGCAGCAATCCTGCCCTCAAAGGGCAGATATTGTACTAGTCAGCCTTGCATCATTATAGCGAAATACCCAGGTCAGGCTACTTATAAAGAAAATCAGACTTATTTGGCTCACAGGTGGGAAGTTCACAGGTCTGGTGCTTATATTGGCTGTTCTGGTGAAGGTCCCATGGCAGATGTGGATAGTAAATGGCAGGCAACAGTCTCATCTTGAGTCACAGAGCAGAGAGGAAAGAATCAGGCTTGCTCCTTTTATTATAAGTCTGTTATGAGGACTCAAGGTTTGCATGGGAAGCACTGTAATCAAGGCAGGATTCCAAGAGATACAAGAACCTCCCACTTAAGCTCCACAGAACCTCCCAGTATTAACTGACTGGAGACCATGTCCCTGGGAGGACACTCACATCACTTTGGGAGCCACTGCAGACATCTGGTGTGGACCAAGAGTGGTGCACACTGTTCCTGCCTTGGGGAGGAGCTTCCGGTATGACCTTAGTTCTCTCTGGACGTAGGCTTGGAAGTGAACTTACTCTGTGAAAGGTAGCCACAGCACATCAGGTTTTGGCGTATTAACATCTTATGGGGTAAGGATACTTTGTCCAAGCCCTATGGAATTTGCTGTTTCTCTGTGGGTTGCATTAGGTTGTCCCTAAGATTCCTGTCACTTCCAAGAGCTATGCACATGATTCTAAGGAAGGTAGGCTTGGTTTGGACAGGCAGGAAATATATTTAGTAAACAAATTTCAAGACATTCTTCAGTTACTGACCTATGTGCAGCACAACTGAATAGTCAGTGTCAGAATGCAGCAATAAAATGAGAGTCCAGAAAAGAAGAAAGATGAAACCAAGAATTTACTTGGTATATCTCTGTCTTTGTGGACATTTCCGTCAAGAGGGATTCTGGTGTTATGTCAGACAAGTAGGAGGAAAACTGTAACAGACATAGTGCAAGCCAAGCAGCAATCCCCAAAAACAAAACAAGTTTTACCCTAGGAAAAACAAGGGGTATGAGAAATAAAAAGTTATCACTGGCTGGCGATTTAGCTCAGAGGCACAAGCCTGCATGGCATGTGCAGTCATGAGTTAGATCCCGGGTACCAAAAAAAAAAGGTACCACAATATGTTGTGCGTATCTATTTGTTGTTGTTATTACAAAATACCCGAAGGTTGGCATTTTATAAAGAAAAGAGTCTTATGCTGGTGACCATTTTTGAGGCTGGAAGTCCAAGATGGGGCAGTCCCATCTGGTGAGGACTATGTCAGGGCATGATCAACAGCATTATGCAGGAGCCCAAGCAAGGTGGACTGATCACGTGGTAAGACAGGAAGCCAGATATACAGGTTATTGTGGGCCCGCTCATGCAGGAACAAACCAGCTCCATGCCAGCACTACTAATCCCTTCTCAGGAATCTGTCCATGGTCCAGTCACTGCCCAATGGCTCTGCCTCTCAAGAGAACAACCACCACCTCCCAGAGGAGGGTCCCACTGCCCAGGGATCAGGCTCCCAGCACGTGAAGTAGGGACACACTCAAATCACATCCAGACCACAACGTGTGTCCAAGGTCCCAGCTCTTCAATCTGAGGGGCCACACCCCTTGCTGCTGTCCTGGAACGCTGGGCAGTGGGCTCCCAGCTGCTGTGCTGTCTGGAACATGCAGAGACCTGAGTGGAGACCTGGTGGCTGTCAACTACACTTCAATGATCAAAGCAAAGTAACCACTGAAACCTCTGCAATCTCAAGGTCAGAGTTATTATCCTGGGGGCGGGGGTGTGAGAGGTGGTCTAAGCCCTTCCAATTTAATTCTCAGAAGAGGAAGTCCCAGACACTGCCTGAAACTGCTACACAAAAACAATTAGGAAATACACTTAGTATAAGCAAATGAGGATAGTTCTAGAAGAAATAGTTCAAAAGATGGAAGGCATGCTTTAGGGGAAGAGGAAAAGAATAGTGCTAGCTGTTACAAGTTAAGATTAAATAAAAAGACAAATTAACTCAGATCAAACCAAACCATTTCCATGGCAACTAAAAAGGAACTGTCAAACTCACAAAGAATGAGGAGTTATCAGCAAAGATAAACTGATGGATTAAGAAAATAATAAGGTGCATATTGGGCATTGAGATATTTTTATATTAACCAAATGTTTGAAAATTAGGCTGGGTAGTTTTCGCCTCTGACCTTTGGGCTGGCTTCCAGGAATAAATACGCAGTTTCAAAGAAACAAGAGAATAGAGAGTGAGCCACTTTTAGATTTGTTAAACCAAATGTAATATAAGTAAAAAATGTATACTGCTCTTTATCTATCTTTGGCTTTGGCTAAATTTATATTTAAGATTTCAATTCAACAACTTTTCAAGAGACAGAGTAAAATGTACATAAAACTGACTCATAAAGAAAACAAATCAAATGGATATAAGCTAATATGTCATAAAAATGTGACCTTCCCCACAATCCAACCAGTCTAGTTCTTTTTTTAATCTTCTGTTTTTCATTAGAAAAATCTCTTTTTCCATAAACCCAAGGTGGCCAATTTGATTGTAATCACTTATTTTTGGTATGTTGTTTGACCTCTGCCTTCAGACTTTAATTGCGTTAGAAGGGAGGAAAAAAAACTCGCGTGGTGTGTGTACATTTAAAAAACTCCCCAAATGTCTAAATTCTCATTTATTTCCTCCCAGTAACAGAAAAACCAGTGGAGAAGTAGAGGAAAAATGTATGTAAAAACCTACAAAAGGCGGGTAGAAGAGGTGAGCTGAGGAAGGGGTAGCTGGAAAGAATAGAATCTAATCATTGCAAATTGAGAAAGCAGAAATTACCTTGGATTACAAAGACTGCCCTAGGGGCTGAGGATTTAGCTCAGCAGCATAAGCGCCTGCCTTGTAAAGCAGGCAGTCGTGAGTTCGATCCCCGGTACCGATAAAAGGAAAAAGACAAAAACAAAAAAAAAAAAAACCCACTGCTCTGGCATTCCTCAGGTAGAGATAACAGAATTAGATAGAGCCAGCCGCAGAGAGAACACAAAACTGTCTTTCTCTCAAGAATATTCCGCAGCTGTAAAGGATGACGATACCAGTTCCTGGGTAATTTCTGCTCTTTCACTCAAATCACATGACTGTGGGAAACTCGGAAACTGCTGTTAGAAGCTGTAACTCTTACTTGAAGGATCCGTATTTTGAATGATTTGTTAGTGATATATTGCTATTTCAAAGGTGATGGACAGAGTCGGGATTGTCTGTGTATTTACCAGAAAGACTGAGATATGGAGCTATCTAAACACAATTTGCTTTCAAAGCAGATATTAATTCAAGGGAACCAGGAGTCAAATACCACAAACTCAGTTCCTCAGCCTCAACTCTGAAAAGCAAGTTGGGTTTTTTTTCTTTTGTTTTGTTTTTATTGTTTTGTGAATTTTAAGGAACTTAGTGAGACCCTGTCTCAAAATAAAAAGGGCTGGAAATGTAGCTCAGTGCAGAGGCCCAGTACCACACACACACCTACAAAGAGACACAGTGAGTATATACCACTTTGATTTCAAAGTAGCTGGTAACTCAAGGGAATCAGAAGTCAAACACCACAAACTCAGTTCCTTAGCCTAGGGTCTGAAAAGCAACTTTTTAACAATAGTTTTGTGAATTTTAGGGAACTTTATTCAGTGACAGTACCTGCCCTAACGTGACATACAGCTAGTCTTTATTAATTTTGTGTAACAATATTCATACTGTCCAACATGAAAGTGCAGAAATATTAACGTGTGGGGTGAAAGGGTACTATCAGACTGTACTGGAGCTAGTTGTAACCAGCAGTCAGTATATATGAATGCCTTTCTATATTCTGATATGTAGCTTCGAACTTTAAATTCTAAGTTCTGAAAAATCCTGAATTCCAAAACACAGGCTGGCTGCTGCCTGACTACAGATACGTATTGAATTGCCTAAATGAAGTTCAACTAGGAGGTCTTTTGTCTAACAAGCAGAGCAACATTAAGTATGAACCCAAGAAAGACCATTTAGAGGAATGATTTCTGAAATCTAAACCTGGGAATAAAATAATCCCACCAACTGCATCTCTTCAAAACAGTGAAAACTCAAAGCTCATATCTCATTTGTATCTTGAAGGAAAACATGAAAAATATTCTAAGACTATATAAAAAAAACTCAATATGGCACTTCAAATACAGAAAACACAAGTCAATTTTTATTTATTGTAACATGTCTCTAAATACATTAATATAAAAGTATGCTTTGAATAGAATAAAATTTGAGAAAATAATTTCAACAGGCAACCTTTTTCTCTTAAAGCGCCTAATATTCTATAAACAAGTCTTTTAGCTCAAATACAAATACATCCATGCACTATCTGGACTTTCCTTGCAGAGAAAAAGGATACATCATGTATTAAAAAATTGCCATGTAAACAATGAAGTTATCAGATGATAGAAATCAATTCTATTCTAGAAATTCTCGGGCATCATAGTTCTTTTTTTGAAACGTAAAAGATTCAGATATGTCTCTTCTGCAACGTTTTCAATTTTTATTTTTATTGGTATATGTTTGCAGTACATGCTTACATTTCTCCTGGGGAGCGGGTACAGGTACACAACACAGTTTAATTCTCCTTTCATCCCCTTCGCCTCTCCTCCCTTTTTCCCCCTCCACCTCGGTTCCCAGCTCCCTACTTCCTGTATCTTTTATTTTCCTCTATATTTATACCTTGAGTTTCTCATATAACACAAACTATGTAGCTTCTTTCTGTTTTGACTGTATACTACTATGTTTTCAAGGTTTAAAAAATGAAGAGAAGGACATAAGTAAAGAGAAAATCCACAGTTTTACTGGGCCTCAGCGCAGTCTTTGGTCGGTCAGTCGGGCGAAGAAGCTGGTAACAAGATCTGCGGCTTCCAACGTCAACAGACGCAGGGGCCCACCTCAGCAATGCCTCTGCAACCTCTGAATACTCAAACAATAGAATGAAATCCACCTGTACCGTTTTGGGTGGATTTAAGATTGGGGGGCCACACTACCTCCCCAAGTGTTTAATTCGAAGTCAGGTTCCTCTACGTGTTACAGGCCGGGCTCCTTAAGACTGAAAACGCGTCCAACAGAACACTGGTGCTCAACATTAGCGGGCTCAGAAATGTTCGCTCCTCCACTCTACTGCTTCTTTCTTTGCGGAGCGAAGGGTGCGAATGCACACAGCCTCGGGACCCACAGGAACGGGGCCACGCCGGGCCTCCTGCACAGGAGCCTCGCCAGTGTCCCAACCCGGGCTTCCCAGGAGCCCGCCGCTCCGCACTTCCGGTTCCCAAGATCCTGGCCCCTCCATCCCCGCGCAACAGTGGGACCCCGCGCCTAGGTTCCGGAGGGAAGCTGCCACAATCTGCCCTTTGTAGTGCGTTTATCCCATTTCCCCCTATTTTCAAAGGGCACCAGCCCGCGAACACTTGCCCTTGCCCAGGTATCGGTGGGCACTCTCCATTTGCCGCGTCCCTGCCCGAAAGCCTCCAGGGAACACCGTGGGGAGGAAAAGTGCGGCTACACCTACCTGCGCCAGGTGAGGCGGGGTAGTTCCGGCGCGGTTCGGGGTTTCCTGCACGGCTCGGACGATTCCGGCGCGGCTCGGGAGCCCGCTCGTCGTTACTCGCCTGTCGCCTCAGCCGCCTCGAGTATGGCGCTTCTTCGTTTCGGGCAGCTTTCTTGTGTTGCCCCGCCGACCGCGCCCTGGCGCCCGGAGCGCGGTCCCTCCCGCTGTGCGGTTGCCGGGAAGAGGACTTGGGCCCCGGGCTGCGGAGCGCGGGCCGGAAGCCCCTGCCAGGGCGGCGCCAGAGCTGGCGGAGGCGCAGTCCCCGCTCCGCCGCCCAGCGCTGCCGTGGGCGCCGAGCGCTCGGAGCCCGAGCCTTGCCGCGGTCCTAGAACGGGCTGAAGCACGCACCCCTTTCTGCAGTTTCCTGTGAAAGCCGTCAGCAGTCGCCTGCTCACCACCACATAATAACCAGTCCTGCTGAGGCAGGAGCCCCGAGGGCGCAGGAGCCGAGGACGAGAACCGCCACGAAGTCTCTGCGGGGAACTTCTGCAAGGATGCCCTGCAGCCCCCTGCACACCCGGCCTTGGACTCCTGCCGCCCACCTGAGTGATCCAGGTAGCAAGGATTCGGGCTTCCAAACAGCTTGTGCAGTCCTCCTCAAAACTTCCCCGGCCTTAGTCTCCTAGCGTTTCGAGTGTAAGGCTGATTTTTTCATCAGGGTACATGAACATGGGTCGGTGAGACCCACGCTTAGTCTGTAGAGTATTTCTGTTGATGAATTACTAACTGTAACTTTGTGAGTTTAATTATATTAAACAGTGAGTACTTAACGGGAAAAAAATCACAAAAATAAAATGCTGAGGTTTTTAGTATTTGTCTAAAAAAGCATCGAAATTTGAAACATCGACTGCTTTTTGGGTGTACAAAGAACATTAGAAATAAATTCCAATATGAGTTGCAATGAAAATACCACTAGCACTCTACCAAAAAAAAGTCTTCAGTTATCACACCTAGCAGTCTGCACACAGGACAACAGCACATTCCATACACACGCACTGCTTTACTGACAGCACAGGTCCCTTGTTTTCCTGGCCTCTTTTGGACATACTGGAATTTCAGCGATCTTGCTGTTGTGTCAGGAAGTTCTTAGTGTATAATGTGTGATTCACAGGGACAAAATATCAACAAATTATTAAATTCTTCGTATTGTGTGTTTAGAATAGACATCATATTTTCAAGCAGCTGTGTACTTCCTTAACAAAGCCTAAAAGATAACATCAGAAATAAATCCTATATTAACTACAATTTAAATACCAATAAAACTGTACCAGAAAAATAAGCTTTGATTCAACTGCACACCCAAGGCTGTCTTCACACATGACAACTCTATGTTCCATACACAAGTATTGCTTACACTGATAGTATGTTTTTGTTTTTCCCGTTCTTTCTTGTAGGGCACAATTGACATCTTTTTTGCTTTTTTGTTGTTGTGTTAGGTCTTTGTGATGCTGCACCCACTTCTTTACCTGTCAGCTCACCAGTGTGCCGCACAATTTTTTTTGCATAGTTCCCTAGAGAGAAACATGTTTTTCCTCTGCTGTAAATAATCTTTTATTAACTCTAGTTCCAATCCCCTAAGAAAATTTTCTCTGTGGAACTTAACACTTTTTATTTTCTTTGTAAACTATCAAACTATGCCACACATTTAGAATTGAATAAAGCACAACCATTGCCAACGTTTTGTATTTCAAGTGACATCATAGTTTCTGCATAACTCATGAATAACCTGTATACCACATTTGATTTTGTTGGAAGTTTGCATCTCAGGTTTCCCTTTTGGCCAGGTTTCCTACTAATTGTTACAGTGTTGAAATGTTGACATTAGCAGTATCAGTTTGCTTTTCTTTGTCATACACAAAGTTAATGTTATAGCTTTCTGAAATTCAAAGATTGTACAATGTTTTGAAATTGGAATTTGAAATTTCATTTGGGATTTCTGCTTTGTTCCTGTGTACAGTTCCTCAACTGGTCAACTTGTACTCTGTTAGCAAATAAAAACATCAATTGGAAATCGGTAAATCAACTGTCAAATGTCACATTGTAATTTGGGAAATGGGAGCAACAAATCTGTTCACAACATTATTCAGTTTATTACTATGTGAATAAGAACCTGATAGCCAAGTTCCAAGGTAAATGTCTAAATTGAAAAAATAGTAAGTCTTCATACCTACAAAGGCATACATTTTTAAACCCATGACTTTTCCAGAGGCCTTTTCCATTCCTGCAATCACAATGAGAAAGCTGTGCTAAATACAGCAGACCTATGAATGCTTTCAGTTCAGCTAGTGTAGTGTCATAAAAAGCACATTTTTGAATATGGCTATTGTTGTATACAGAATGTTTTACTTGTATTTTAGTCTTTGTGTATTTCACAATTTCCAACACCGAATGGCAGTGCTGGCATTCTGTCCAAAATGTTTCTCCCTTGCCAAGACTTTCACTGTATTTTCAGACCTCATTCTAACATTGGATCATTCTGTTTGTTTGTGGCCATTTTGCAGCATTTCAACTAGTCAAATATGTACTGTGGTTGCTGTTTTCTTCATCATCTGTATCAAGGTGGTGTGTATTCCCTGTGTCTGTGTTAGTTGATTTTTGTTCCTTTTCACTGTCACATGAACTCCGGCTCCCATGACCAATGTCAGAGTCATCATGATCATCACTTACCCACCCACACCACTCTTCTGTTATGAAATCATGTATTTGACCATAATAGATCATCTTCAACATCCATATATGAATATCTCATGATTCACTTTTGATCTCCTCCAAAACTTGCAAATCTTGTTCATGTGCCATTGTACTGAATTAGGTTACTTCTACCTGCAAAATCAAAATCTTTTTTTTTTTTTTTTTTTTTTTTTTAAACAAAGCTTGGAGTAATGTGGGTCTGTTTGGCCCTCTGTGATGCTGGGGTAAACATACGGAAAACCAGTTAGTGGGTGCATAAAGGTGGGTCCAAACTCTGTTTTGATACTTTTGCATACTCCTGGCTGTTTGTTACTCCAAGTGGGTAAACATAAATTGCTTCCCTATCCCTCGGCACAGCTGGCTAGGATAATTCTGAAGTACACAAGCACAGAGAACATTAAGGGACGGATATGCTGGACCCACACATTTGCCTCAAGGGTAATCCCCTCAGAGTTCACTGCAGTACACTTACCCCCACTGCAGTGCTTTGCTACTCCCCAAAACTCTTTTCAGAGACTCTTGTGTTTGGATTTAGACAAAGCTTTCCTCATTAAATTTTCCTCAAAGACCAGTATCCAGACCCTGATAAACACTGGTGGTCAGTGCCTGTTTTTAAAAAGCGGTAACCTGGGGGCTGGGGATTTAGCTCAGTGGCATAAGCGCCTGCCTTGCAAGCAGGCAGTCGTGAGTTCAATCCCCCAAAAAAGCGGTAACCTGAGCCCAGATACAGTAATCGGAGTGAGCTGTAATGTGTCAGTTTAGCATCTGCGGAGGAAAGGGGGTGTAGAGTGTTTTCCTTCAGCTGGCAGCAGTCCCTCAGCCTTTTCCACTTCAGGGATTGCTAGATTATCTCTTCCTTTGCTTTGTGCTATTATAATTTTAATCTAAGTGGAGGATTTTTATTATGATTATATGTTAGTTATTAAACTAAATTTGGCTTCAGTAACCTATCAAAATAGCAGTTTTTCCTAAATGGAGGCTTTGATTGTCCATAGGTTTTCGGAGTTGGCAGTGTGTCAGACGTGGGCATTGGTCCTGGGGTTTACATAGATTGTAAGTTTCGGAGGGGCTCTTGGGTGGTAGAGAGGAGGTGGAGTTATGGATTCATCTTTAAGGCTCCCTTTAGCATAACTGTGGTCCTCTCTTGGAATTACCATCAGTGTCAACTAGGATACTTGGCAGGATTTCTTAAAAATTAAAATCATTGCATAATTGCCTAGAGGGAAATTTTTGTTGTAATGTAACACATTCCTCCCAGCCTTTCTTCTTATCTGCCTTTACCTTAGTAGATTTTGATTTATAGTTTTCAGTGTAATGCATTCCAATAGCAACTATGACAAAATGCCAAGTCCTAAAAATGCCCTGCCCCGCCAATCCCTCTACCTGCTAGGCTTGAAGGCCTCCGACACCTTTACTGGTTGGTTGTTTGTGTTGGTGATTAAGCCCAGGACTGTCACAGAGATGCTTCCCCTGCCTTTGCTTTTTCCCCTACAAACTAAGTTGTCTGGGAGGCCTTGGACTTTCATTCCTCCTGCCTCAGCCCCCCAGAATGCGGGAATGACAGTCACATGCCACCACATCTGATGATGTGTTCACTCATACATGTCCTGATCCTGACCTGCAGATTTTTAAAATAGTAAATATATTTATTTTCCACAGTAATACCAGCACATGAAGGGTCTCTGCATCTATTTATGTTGTCTGTTTGTACTGTTTTCTGGTCATAGAGTGCTACTTCCAGTGTTCCTGGTGATCTTTCTCCGTGAGCCATTCCTTGTCCTGAAAAATTTATTTCTGAGGATTAGTTCAGGCCCAGGAAGAAGGTACTTTCTTTCCAAGACAGTTTGCCTTTATTCCTGTCCGACACCTAAGGTGGAATTAGACTTCGGGTGTTTTAAGGTAAACAGGAAGTTTGGAGCATATGAGCCTGGGCCGTGAATTGGAGTAGAACTTTGGTCATCTTGTGGCTGCAGTTTCTCAGGGATTATTTTTCTTCTCTGAGACTCCTCTGCCTCTTGCTTACCTAGGAATCTTAGTGACTCACATCCCATACTTTTCTCCTTCCTGGTTCACTCCATTATTTTGGTGGGACACAATCTGTTGTCTCCAAGTCATCTTTTGAGAAACAAAGGTAGATATTTTTAAGACTATCCATATCCAAAATGATTTTACCCTCCAGGTTGATCAATGGCTTGACTTTATGTATTCTAGTTGTAAGTTTCAAATGTTATTGATACTGTTGCTTTATATCTAACCCATACTGATGCTTTATTGCTTTCTGTTAACCTCTTCCTTTCCCTTTGAAGGGTAAAGGATATTCTGTTTGACCCCAGCTTTTAGAAATTGACGGGGTATGATGATGATATGGTTTTTAGGGTGAGAAGCTAAACTGTTTTCCAAACCCTGCAAACAGAAATCTAGAAATAAAATCACAAAGTTTTAAGAAACTAAAGACCCCACTAGGAAGCTTTCTTTTTTCCCTAATATCTATCTTTTATTTTGCTCTTTATCTGTAATTTGAATTTCTCATGTAAAAGAGACGATGTGATATTTAAGATTATATGTCCAGTTTGTTTCCTTTCATATGGTTTCTAGGTGCCTCCATTTTCCCACAAATGACTGAAGTATATCCTTTGTGGCAGAAGAAGTCTCCACTGTGTATAAATGCCACCTTTCCTTTATCCATTCGTCTGTCCATAGGTGTATAGGCCACTTCCAAGACTTAGCTACTGTGAGTTGTGCTGCTATGAACACTGATGTGTGTGTATCACCATAATGTGATATCTTTAGCCCTGGGGAAGATATATCCAGCACAGGAGTAGCTGGGGTCACAAGGGACTGGGGTTTCCAGGTACAGTGTTTGAGGAATCTCTACTGCTTTGTAGCGGTTATCCACAGAGTCTGCATTCCCACCTCCTTTTTCCCTGCAGCCTCACCTTCATTTGTTGTTATCTGATCTCTAATAGCCATTCTTTCTAGAGGAAGATGGAATCTTGGTGTTGTTTTCATTTGCGTTTCTCTAATGCTTAGTGATGTTAAACATTTTTCGTTTATTTATTGGCTTCTTATAGTTCTTCTGCGAAGTGCCTGTTCATTTCAGTTTCCCAGTTTTTCATTGGGTCTTTTGTCTTGAGGGGCTCTGGTTTTTTAGTTCTGTATACTTTAGATATTAGTCCTCTGCCTGAGGAATGGCTGGCAAAGAATTTTTCTCAGCCTGTAGGCTGTCTCTTTACTTCGTTAGTGATTTCCTGCACCGTGAAGAGATAATTGGCATGATCCTGTTTATTGATTATTGGTATGATTTTTTGTGAAAATGGGCTTCTACTCAAAAAGTGCTTGCCTGTGCCTGTGTCAGGAGTTTCACCTGTGTTGTCTTCCAGCAAGCTAAGCGGTTCTGTTTTAATATTTAGGTCTTTGATCTATTTGGATTTTAGTTTAGCAGATGGCAAGAGATAGGGATATAGATTCAGTCTTCTGTGTGTAAACCAATTTTCCTCACACCATTTGTTAAAGAGGCTCTCTTTCCTCCAGCATGTGTTTTTGGCCCCTTGTCAAAGATCAGGTAACAGAATGTACCTGGAGTTGTTTCTATATTCTCTGTTCTGTTTCATTGATCCACATGTCTGTTTTTCTTGCTAATACCATACTGTTTTCATCACTGTCACTTTGCAGTATAAGTTGAAGTTTGGGATCCAGGGTTGTGATGCTTCCTGCCTTCTCAGGAAGCTTTTGCTCTTCTAGGTCTGTTCTGGTTCCATGTGCATTTTAGGATTGTTTTGTCTTGTTCTGTGAAGGATGCTATTTGTGTTTTGATTTGGATTGCTTTAAATAGGTATGTCAGTTTCGGAAATAGGACCATTTTGACTATATTGGTTCTGCCTATTCAGGAACAAAGTTCACATCAGTTCTCTTTGATCTCCTTTGTCAGAGTGCTGCAGTTTTTCATTGTAGAGGTCTTGCGTGTCCTTCATTAAGTTAATTCCTAAGTTTTTAATTTTTCTTGATGCTTTCGTGAAAGACATTGATTCCCTCTGACTCCCAAACTACTTTTTAAAAATGCCCACTTAGCTGTTACTAGAGAACAGATCATAATGTGCTCAGTGCACTTACACAGCAGTAACCATCAGGTCAAACGTTGTTCACAATGGGTGCATACTTCCAACCTCACATTGGACATTGTAAATTCATACAACTTTTGTTTGTCACTTACATGTCAATCAATCTGGAATATTTCTAAAAACAAAACAAGATATAGCATTCAGAGTTCAATCTTACACATAAAAATAGATAAAGTGCCTTGTCTGCACAGTCTCTTGTGTTCTGCACTTCTCAACTTTTCATACATATGTCTTTCTTCCCTCTGGGACTTAATTTAACTACATATATTGTGATGTGCAGAACTGACTTGGTTTTCTTCCAAATGCGTAAACAGTGATGCTGGTTTTAATTAATAATGCTTTTCCCACTGGGCTGAGATACATTTCTTTGCATGGCTATCCTAGTATTCATTGTATATTGTTCTTATTTTTGAACTCTAATCGTGTTATGTTGACCAGTTTTCTCTTCTTGAAACCAAAAATACAGTTCTTCAAGTGGCTGTTGGTGATTTGGGGTTCTAGTGTAAGTAGTATAGTGCTTGCCCAGAATGTGTGAGGCCTGGGTTTCGGTTCCCTGTACCATGAGAGAGGAAGGCTGTTATTGAAAGACAGTGCCAAGAGATGAGAAGACAAGCCACAAACTGGAAGAAAATATTAGCAGAAGACATATCTTATAGAGTACTTTTATCCAAAATACACACAAAAGCTTTCAAACTCAATAATAAATAAGGAATCTGATTAGCAATGGACCAAAAGTCTCAGCAGAAGAGGCAAACGTATGGGATGACCCACATCACATCAAAAGGCTGGAGAAAATTCTACACAGCAGACAGCCGAGCAGCAGCACCACACACCCACCAACCTAAGTCGGGAACACCGGCAGCCCCAAAGGGTGGCCCCAGTGGCAGCAGCCTCTGAACTCAGTCAGGTGCTGGCCCACTTGGGTTATGCAGACTGGTCATTCTGCATACCCTTCTCCCTGCACACTGCAGAGGTGCCTGCTCCCTGCCCAGCCAGCTCAGGTCACCTTGCTGCATAGTTCCTGCCATCCTCATTGTCACTCATCCTCAAGCCACTCCCTTCTTCATGAGAAGATAAATGCTAGGAGAGGCCTCGGATCAGGGCGTTTGCCCACATATCCCCACTTGGATCAGGCTTAGGACCCCTTGGCTGCCCTTAACTTTGAACATGGCTTGGTGTCTTTATTCTTGTCATGGGTTGCATTAGAGGTGGTAGATTAGAATTAACTTGCTGAGATTCTAATAACAATTCTATGGGATTACAGATAGAACTTTTTGGATTGTGAGGCAGACCAGAAAAGGGATTGCAACACCTGAATCTTGCTGTCCTGAGAACTGGTCCCAGGAGAACTGCAGAATCCTTGTTGAGGTCAGTGCCCCCAGGGGTCTGACTGCCTTTCCCAGCTCCCTCCACTGCCACCGCACACAGACACACACACACACACACACACACACAGGCTCTAGCACTTCAGTGTCACCGCACTTGTGACCAAGTTTCCAACACACGACTCTCTGGAGGATATACACTCAAACCTGCGCAATCCATGGCACTTGCTCTTGCTCCTGGGTACCTGCAGGATTCTTTCTTTAACTCTGAAATTAAGAAAATGGCAGGAGTGCAGGATGGCTCGTGTATGTAATCCAACACTCAGAAGGCTGAGGCGGGAGAATCACCCTGAGTTTCATAGTGACCAGCCTGAGCTTCATAGTGAGTTCAAGACTGGTCTGAATTAATAGTGAGACCATCTCAAAAAACAAAGCAAAACAAAAGCTTGGCAAGAACATGTATTAATAGAGATCAAACTTTATTTTCTATTCCTTTAAGCACAATATTCTCTTTAATTGGAAAATGTAGGTCTTTCATTTTACCTATATTATTTTAAATACTTGCATTGGTCCAGGGGTTTAGCGCAGTGGCACAAGTGCCTGCCTGGCAAATGCAAGGCTGTGAGTTTTATTCCTGATACCAAAAATAAGCAAGTAAATAAATAAATACTTGTATTATTTAAATACTTTGGCATTTACTAGTTTCTCCAAACACATACATAATTCTTTTGTTTTCCATTACACCTATTTTGTACTCTGACTGCTGTGATTTCTTTTTGTTTATTATTTAGAGTGATTTTCCTTTCCTAAATCAGCAGCTCACTGTTGGTCCAAATCTACTTCATCCTAATTTCTGGGTAGGGCTGTTAATCCTGAAGTTGTTTCCTTGGCTCTCTGGCTTCTCTCATCTGTCTTGTTATTTTGTTTGTTTATTCAGTTCGCCCTGGAGGTTTTTTAAAAACTGATTTTATATTCTCATCAAGCTATTTTGTAGACTCCATTTAAAATTTCCTTCACTCCGGACTTCTTTTGTGGACCCTTGGCATACTACTTCTTTGAATTTTGCGCAGTTGCAAGTTCGCTGACTTTATCCCGCAGATTCCTGGCGGCACCACCAGGCCTCGCTCTGCTCCTGGGTGGGTGCCGCCCGGGGTCCCTGGGCTCACCTTTTTCTTGTCCCTTTCCTGCAGCAGGTGCCAGCCTGCAGCCCCCTTTGAGCCCAACCTCCTCCGGAGCCCGGGGGAGTCCTGCTCCAGCTCCTCGCCCGCCCGAGGGCGTCTGTCTCCACGACCCACGGCCCAGGGTCGGAGACGGAGGTGTGGGGTACACAGGTCCCAGCGGCTGGAAGGGTCGCGGCAGGAGTCTGTCCACCTCGCTGGGTATCACGCACTTCCGCTTTCCGTATGAGCCAGCACTCTCCAGTGCGCCTCCTTAAGAGGTACTCTTTTCTCTAAAATGTTTGTTTTTTCCTCTTCCCTTTTTTTCTGGGTGGGGGAGTGGCAAGAAAAGGGAGAGTCTTTCCAGTTAGCTGGGTGACCCTTGGACCACTTGTAGCCAGACTCTGAGGCCCTACACTTTTCCTGCAGCGTTTACATGCACATTTTAGCCATGTCCTCAGATTTTATCTCTGTCAAATTAGAAGCATGCAAATTACTAGTGGATTTATCTGTTACAGTGCTTTAGATTGTAAGTAAAAGAACACCCAATTCCAGCTATTGCCCCATTTACCCTAAATAAGATTTGCCCAGAAAACAAATTCTAGCATGATTTCAGAAGACATTCTCTGAAAATAATGCTGAGACTTGTTTCCTGGGTAGGTCTTATTTTCAGCGAAGTGGGTAAAATAATAAAATTGTGTTGGCACACAGCAGAGAGATACCCTGACAGATACTAACTACACTGTTCACAGCAACAGATGTCTGCTGCCCTGCTAGGGCAGGGTTCCATGTTTTTAAAGGGTGATGTTTCAGTCAGTGGCGCCCCCAGAGGGGACTTAGGACTCTGGACTGGATTGTTTAGGGCATAGGTTTGGCATGGTTGGCTGGCAGGTTTCCAAACAGCAGCAGGAAGCAGTAAACCCTTTCATTTTCAGACCAATTGAGGGCCTATGTGAGTTCCTTGTGCAGACCATCCCCGTGAGAGCCAAAATAACTGTGTCCAAGATGACTGCATTGTATCAAGCCATTCCTAAGAAAGCCACTTCCCTCGCAAACAGGGTGGAGTCAGCCTCTGTGGGGGATTTATTTTTAAGTCTGGTCAGCTTAAGAACAGTCAGTCAGTTAGTGCCAGGCGGTCACTGGAGGCTCATTTTGGTGGGCAGGTACATGGCACCATGGAAGATTGAGTGGTTTATCACAACAATAAGGTGAGGATTTCTGCATCAGAGTCCTTGGTACCAGTGATCCAGCTGTTGGATTCAGGAGGCCCAGTACACAACGCAGCACCTGGACCAGCTAGGTCTCCGTCTAAGGTAAGTTTGTCAGTTTTCTTGATCAGAAGTGGCTGTTAGAGCATGCAGGTGGAAAAGGGGGTACAGCCCCTAGCAACTGGATCCAAGTGTTTACACCGGTAGGCCCCCAGGTACTCCCAGGGGCTGACAGTCTGAGTAAGCATCTTTAAGGCCACAGGTCATCATTTATGAACAAAGGAGTTAGATTTCAGTTACATCTGGAATTCCCAAGATTGGGGCTGTAGAGAGGACCTTTTATTTTTCTTTGCCTATTTGTGCTTTTCTCAAGATACCTTGTAGCCTGTTTCTGCCAGATGCTGCAGAAGAGTATTTGTGTCTTCCAGCCGGCAGCTTGGATGTCATTAATTAGAAGTGCAGGGATATTTTGTGACCAGAAATTAGTAAGGTTAGCTGTGAGGGCTCCTGCAAAGGGTAAACAAGTTTTTGAACCTCAGGAATGTTGAGTCCAGGTCAGTTGGCTTTTGAATCCAGAGCTAGGGTCTTTGTACAGAGGGGCTGTCAGCAGCCAATAGAAGGCAGAAGACGGCAACCCTGAGGTCCAGGCAGGTGTACCAGCAGGCTATGGGTGACTGCAGGATGGCGGGCAGCCATGGTGGCATTGACAGTGTGGAGATCCTGAACTCGTTTTGCAGGCAGGAGAGGTGCATTTCTGAAACGTTTTGCAGCTTTGAAGCCTCTGGACGTACGGTTGCATTCTTTTCTTGGGGAACCATGACAGCAAGCAGAAGGGGACAGAGACACAGGCTGTGTAGGAGAGGACAACCCCCTTGTCAGAGCTTCACTGAAATGGTAGGAGAGTTCCCAGACCTTTGTGTGTGGGCTGGGAACTGCAGAGTGCAAGGTGATAGCTGCGTTGTTGATGAAGCACAGACCTTGCACTGGCCGGCTCTTGCCAGAAACAGAGGAGCGTTTCAAGGTGACTAACAGCTTTCAGAATCCTGAAGTGCTTTAGCAGCTGATAGGGGTGCCTCTTTGTGCTTCCCATGACACAGGATACGGGAGCACAGTTGACAGCCAGGCCCAGAGACGAGTCTTCAGCCCATATTCCCGGGAGGAGAATTTTCAGAATTTCAGAATTGTGATCATCTATCTCAGGCAGATGTAGGGTTAAATAAGAGGGAGGTTGACTGGCTCGGTGCCTTTAGCCTGAAGAAGAGCTCTCCTTCCAGAAGTGGTGTGGGGCACATACAGGAACTCATGTTTGGGAAGACGTTCTCTCAGCTGCGAGTTTGTGCTTGGCAGGGGGGTGAGAGTCAAGATTAGAGTGGGTGATGGTACTATGGGCTCCCAGAGGTCCAGGTGAGGAAGGGAGCCGGGTCTGTCCTAGCCTGAGCTCATCAGACTGATGAAAGAGTTGTCATCTGACAGGGGTTGAAGCTTTTGAGAGCTCTTATCTTTTAGTCTGCTTGGGCATTTATTTTTTTAGTGTCTGTAGCCCTGTGTGCATCTCTAGCCTGTTGGTCTACCCTTTACCAGTCAGACTCTCCACTCCTACAAGTGCGTGAGATACTTCCTTAAATCCATTGCCCCTACACAGCACACACACACACACACACACACACGCACACATGCACACACACATGCATGCACACACATACAATTGGCTGCATTTCTCCAGGGAGAACCCTGATGAACACATACACTTACAACACGTGAATTTCCTTGTATGTAAATTGTAACTGAATACATTTAAAAACATAAAACTACAGGCCATATAATTTTAAAAAGTGAAAATTAAGTATATGCTTATTTACATAGACCATCATTATCAAGTATGTTACATGTCAATGTGTGTTGCTCTTTCAAAACTTTTTAATCTATGTAATGGTTTCATTTGGAAAGTTTTTTTATTTGATCTCATAGATGATTCTAAAAAGGAGTTTGTTTTTTTTGTTTTATGTTTACAACTCTGGGAGACACTGGCTCATGTAGAATTGAAAGGATTAAAAGCATATTATTACTCAATATAGGAAACAAATTTGACTCAGAGAAATATGTTACCTTAAAGCAAATTTGTCCTTTATTTTTAAAATGAAAGCTCAATGCTAGAATGTTTTGGATTTAGGGAAAAGTTGCAAAGTCAGAGAAGGTCTTGTCCACCAGCTTTCCCGAGGGACGGCCTGCTGCAGATCCGCCGTCCACTCCTGGGAACCAGCCGCTGTCACCCGCAGCCTCTCACCACTTTCCTGCTTCTCCATGCTGGGCTTTCACTCTCGCAGGCTGCAGCAGTGCCCTGCCACGCTCAGCCCCCCAAATATTACATTCGTGTTTATGTTTTTAGTACAAAACTAGGACCTCCATTCTTTGAAGATTTCTTCTAATCTGATGTTTATTTCTAATCTGATGTTATTTATAATCTGATGTTACTTCTAATCTGATATTTTGATTCCATAACACACAAAAAAACCATGTAACAGAGATGAAAAATTGTTCTGTTTACATTAAAATGCTTCAGATAACCAAGGATCTTTGGAGACTCTATGCTGGGGAAGAGGAAAACCCAAGACCTCCCTCAGTAATCTTTCTCAGAAACTAAAAACTGTCGTAATCAGAAAATTTTTCCTAAAGTCTAAATTTACCCTTTCAGTGACTTTCTAATTCAGCAGGGCAAATGGAATTTTATTACGTTTAAGAATTAAAAGCCGGGCATGGTGGTGCTTTCCTGACATCCCAGCACTCAGGAGGCTGAAGCAGAAGGATCACATGAGTTAGAGGTCAGCCGAGGCCACATAGTGAGCTCGAGGCCAGCCTGGACTACACAGTGACATCCTGTCTGAAAAAAACAAATAAAGAAAGAGAAAAGAAGAGAAGAGAAAGAAATTTAGTTAAATATATCATAATTGGCTGAGCACCAGGCAGCTGGAGCAGGCAGGCGACCACCAGAGACAAGGTAAGAACCTGTCATCTCCAGGGTCCTCTGTGTGGCCACAGCCGGGCAGGCTGCTCCTGTCCTTGGGAGTCAGTGCAGGGGAGCTGGGGCCTGCAGCTCTGCAGAGACCCCAGGCCGGTGGCCTGCTGTTATTCCATAGCAGCATGGCCCGAGGCCGATGAAAGCCACAGGACCCACTAGGTTGTAGACACCTGGAAATCAGAGTCAGGACCCTAAAAACTTGCCAAAACTAAGCTAAGCAAAGCCCTAGCCATCCCCAAAGCTCCCGGAAATGTGGCAGTTACACCACAGGCTTCTTATTGGCTTTCTCCTGCAGCTGAGGCCTCAAATCGAGCGCATGTTTTTGTACATAGGATGATTTCCTTTTTCACAGCAGAGGGGAAGCCTGGTTTGAAGAAACCACGTGTTCTGATCTTTCCAGACAACATCAGTTCTGTTGATGACCTCAGAGGGGACAGTGTGTTCCTTCTAGCTTCTTTAGGATGCTCTGCCTGTGGACTGTGGTCCTGGGAAGCTCTGGTCCCAAGGGAAGGTGCTGCGCACCACTCCACCTGTGCTGGCACCAAACGTTGCCCAGACACTGGGTCTAGCTGTGCTGTCTTCTCTTGGGGTAACTCACATGAGCCAGAGTCATTAGCCAGGGCTGCTCCAGGGGATACTAGCTTCTGTTTGCACTGCGTGTGTGTGTGTGTGTGTGTGTGTGTGTGTAAAGTGGTCAGTGCAAACGTGACTTCATTGGAGCGGGGTATGCATGGTGTGTGCCAGTGCTAAGGACCCTGTCACAGCACGGAGGCCTGCCGTGAATTTGCACCGTGATGGCTCTGCGAACTCACAGTGTGCTTGGAACTGTGAGGAAAGCCCACCAGAGTTGTGCATGGGTGGCTAGCAGTTATGGCTGAAGATGTCCAGGGTTCTATCCAGTGAACCCCTGCAGACTATGTCCAGAGGTGGGCTTCCAGGGCGCTGTATCTAAGAACACAGCCGTCCTAAATGACCCGTTTCCTGTTTGGAGAACTCTGATCTTGGGAAGATCCATCAGAAGCCTCCCTCTCTGTGGGGCCTCTCCTTTGGTGGTAGGGTTGCTTCCTGGAGCTAGGACCAGACACCCTGTTGTCACAGCACTTCAGGCATTTGGCTTTCAGTGTCAGCAGAATAGCACAGTGGCCGAGGCCATCAGCCTGCTTGCTTCCTGCATCTGAGCCTCCTTTTCCTGATGTGTCCTAGAATCTTCCTCTGGAATTTGGGGTGACCTGTAACTGCTGTGACCAAGAGAGTGTGACAGAGGTGGGCCTTGTTCCAACCCTTTTTAGAAGGTTGGCAGCCCATGTCTCCGTCTCTGGGAGCCCTGGACTTCGGGTAAGAGCCTCCAAGGCTGTACAAAAGGCCAGGCCTGGGGTCAGGTGCAGTGGACGGGTGCTGGATGGAGCCCCTCGTCCGGCCACTCTCACAGTGCCAGATGTGTAAGTGGCCAGAGAACAGCTGAATGCCAAGGAATGAGCCTAGTTAATGCCCTGCAGAGAGGAACCATCAGCTGAGCCCTGCCTGAACTTTTGAGCCATAAAGTCATGAGGATTTAAAATGTTTTTTCAAAATGTTTGTGTTTACAAGCAACTGCCCAGTTATTGATCAGTAGTGTGATAGTGAAATGCAAGTATCCCTAGGGCCAGCTCCTGATCTGGAACCCAGAGAAAAATGAGAATATGGGCCCCTCTCTTGGTGCCACCTTTCCGACATGTCCAGAAACTGCAGACCCTGTTCTCTGGGGATTTTAGGGTTCCCTACTTAGGCATGACTGTTTCAATCATCAGCTGTTCATGTTCAGTTCATCTTCAGCCCCCGCTTCCAGAAGTCCAGATAAACCTGAAAGTCCCAAACCTACAATCAGGAAATTGGTTCCTCTAGTACCCGTCTTTCACCTCGAGTCTATCCAGGAGCCCCACAGTCAGTTATCACTGTCACAGGCCAAAAGGCAAAGGTGGAGGGCCCCAGGGCTTTGGGCTGTAGTCTAGGAAACAAGCATGGAGCCCAAATGCAGTGGGTATTTCTTACCATAAATCACAGCATCACAGTCCAATAAAAAGAAGGGAATCTTAAGAACGTGACGTTGAGA